CCCTCTGTGTGTGTGGGGGATAATGTGTCCCCCCACCCCCGCGGGGGGATTATATTGCCCCCCTCTTTCCCCCGTTTATTTTTTCCCCCGCCATTTCAATAGGGAAATTTTGACGCCATTTGCCGGGGTTAAAAACCGGGGCGTTTTTAGGGGATTATGAGGGGTTGGGGGGTGTCTTGGGTAATTAGGGGGAACGGGGTGATGTTGGGGGAGGAGAGGGGAGGGGTAACAGGTTGGGGGGAAAGGGAGGTGTTGAAAGGTTATAGTGAATGGCTGAGTTCTTTCATCTGCTTAATTTTGATTTCATTTTCCCTTTTACTGCCATTCCAATTTTACCCCCATTCACCCCTTACTCCCATTCCCACCTCTCCCCATCTTTTCAACCCCTCCCTTCTTATCAACCCCTCCCCCCATTCCCACCCTCCCCCTCTTATCTACCCCTTACCCCCATTCCCACCCTTCCCCACCCTCCTTCCCCCACCCTTATAATCAGTTATTCAGAGTGAGATTTCAACCCCCCTGTGAGTGAGGGGGGTTTATAAGGGGGACGAGGCTTCCTATCCCCCTGATCCCCAAAGTTCACGCGTGGGGATCGGTTCCCAATTCCCGATGATATTCCCGACGCTGATTCCCAAATTCCAAGTTATGATCGCTAGGGGGCGGCGCAGGCCTAGGGCGCCATTTTGTTTTATTAACTTATTTTGCATAGGCCTACGGGGGCCTCTTATAATGCATTATTTTTAATTGTCCTTCAGTATTTTTTATTTAAAAATATATTAGGCCTAGGCTGAAAATTTTTGTTTGAATTGCGTCAAAAAATTTATAAAAAGTTTGTACGACTGCTTTCATTTAAAAATATGAAATATCTTTCAAAAAATTGAATAGCTTTCAGTTTTAAATTTCAATGTTTAAAACATATCATGTCTGGCAAATATGCATTTCATTTTGCATAGGTCTCTTATAATGAATTATTTTCAATTGGCCATCTGAATTTTTTGTCATTGGCTGTACTGAAATTTTTTTTAATATCTGTAATATTTTGTCGAAAAATATATGGAAAGTTTGTATGAAAAAGCTAACTTCTCCTTTTTAAATATTATTATTTAAGATTTATCATGTCCGGCAAATATTGATTTTCATTCATTTTCTATTCACATTAATCTAAGCATTCATGTCAGCATATCATTCAATAGGCATATTTTTTTAGCCTACATAGGCCTACCAGGAAAATTGAAAAAATTACGTAACATTTACACAAACTTATAAAATAAATATATTAATGTATTGTGTTAATGTATTGTGTTAATGTATAAGTGTATGGTCTGGTTAAAATGTACAAAATCATACGTGACTTTTATGCATTGTTGGGCTAAATGGGTACAATGTGTGGAAATGGGTACAATGGTGGTGAGTGGAAATGGGAACAATGGTGGACGGTGGAAATGGGTACAATGGTGGAGGGTGGAAATGGGTACAAGGCTGGAGGGTGGAAATGGGTACAATGGTGGTGGGTGGAAATGGGTACAATGGTGGCGGGTGGAAATGGTTACAATGGTGGTGGGTGGAAATGGGTACAATGGTGGAGGTGGAAATGGGTACAAATACAATGGTGGGGGTGGAAATGGGTACAATGGCAGTGGGTGGAAATGGGTACAACGAAGAAAATGTAAGTGCTGCTAATGTATATACATGTATGTTTAGTCTGCGGTTCACTTAATATATTGTGGTTTCCCCTGCAAGCATTTCGTTTTCTTTGGACCGTTACTCGTTTTCTAAAAAGAAATTTGTTAATTAACCGCAAACTAATTAATTTATTTATTAAAACAGGATATTAATTTAGAATCTACTTAATTTAATACCAGCTTTATTGGAAGCTCAATTATTTTAATTATAATTTATTTATTATATTTTGAGCAAATTGGATGTGTTATATATTATAACTTCTATTAATAAGCATTAACTATCACATATCTTATAAAATTATTAGTTAATACTTAACATATTAGTCCATTTCGTTATGATGTTATCGTTTATGTACTACCTAGAGTATTTTTGTCTAATAATATAAAATAATAAATATTTGTCTGATAATAATAATAATAATCCTGACTTTTATCATTGTTTCCCTAATGACATTATACTTTAATGGTAAATTAAGCAAATAATGTATTAATATATTAATCGCTTTAATATATTAATAATAACCTAATAATATATATTATTGATAATATAACATATATCAATATATTAATAATTTAATATATTAATAATCGCTTCTGACTATATTAATAAATCAGAAGATACAGATTTACTACCGCTCAATATATAAGGAATTTATGAAAATAACATGTATTGATTTAAATATTCCTTCATAATCAAATATAAACATTTATAAACAAATATTCAATCCATAAACGTCAATAAATATTGATTTGATAAAATTGAATAAAAGCTTACATATAATATTTGATTTATGGAAAATCCCGAAACATTGATCTATAAAATAACTTATACTACTATACTTAATCCTATTTTTTCAATTAATCATAATTATTAATAATTTTTATGCTTTATCCTGCTCGGTACTATTCAGTATTCACCTGTATTCACCTTTATATTTATACGCGAAAAATCGTTTTTAATGCAGTTGCCCCTGGAAAATTTTTTCTTTGTTCTCGTTTTCTGCGCCGCAGAAAAAATCTATAAATTTCTGTGCCGTCGCCATGGCAACGCCGGCGCCAAGTTTGAACTTGACTAGAAAACTAAATACAGACGTGAACTAGACAACAGGTAGGCTAGTGAACTAGACTACAGGGAGGCTAATGAACTAGACAGCTGAGAGGCTAGTGAACTAGACAGCAGGGAGGATAATGAACTAGATAACAGTTATTTTTACTAGAAATCACTTCACATAGGTAGGACAACATTATTTATGTTCAATGTTACCTAAACAACTGCATTGGCCCAACTAGAAAGCATTAACTAGATATATTGATACCAAGACTAACTAGATATCACCTAGATCTACCTAGACACCAACATCTGCCATAGATATCGTATTATATAGAGACAACTACATGTAAAACGTCACCTAGATCCACCAGAAACCTTACCTAGATAGCTCACGTAGACACATCACCTAGACATCACCTAGTCATTACCTAGACATCACCTAGACATCACCTAGACACATCACCTAGACATCACCTAAACATCACCTAGACACATCACCTAGACACATCACCTAGAAATCACCTAGACATCACCTAGACATCACCTAGACA